TATCATCGTCATCATCTATCATCAGATGCAAATCATCATCGTTATCATCTATCATCGAATCATTCATTTCATTCATAATTTCATCTATCATCATCATCATCATAATCATCAATCATTATATCGATCATTCATCATTATTGCATCACATATTGTGATTGTATTGTGATTAATTTTTTATTGTTATATATATTATATCAATTCATTGTTATTGTCATTATTATTAGATTATCATCATTATTACATGATATCCCATTAGATTGTTATTATTATTATATTAATTATTATTAGTTATTATTGATATAGAATTATTATCATATATTATCATTATATATTATATGTGGAATATTTGCTTATTATTAAATTATAGTTATTTATCATTGTATAAATCATTGTTAATTATGTAATCATATCATTTATTATGAAATTATTAATTATTATTAGTTATTATATTATTATTGTATTATTATAATTGTATAGCTTTTATATATTCATTCTGGAAATTCTCCTTTTTATCCTTATGATTATTTATTGATTATATTGATGTATGATGATATGATATTATATGATATTATCATTTTTTACTATTATTAATCATTATACTATAATATTATTATTATTATTATTATTATTATTATTATTATTATTATTATTGTTATTATTATTATTATTATTGATTATTATATTGTTATTATTTTTATTATCAATGTTATTATCCATATTATTATTATCATTACACATTATTATCCCATTATTCTTCTTATTGTTAATCATCTTTTTAATTATTATGATTATTAATATATATTGTATCATTAATTATTTATTATTATTATTATGTATTATATATAATTATTATTATAGTAGTAGTAGTAGTATTTTTATTATTATCATCATCATCATCATTATTATGATCATTATTATTATTATAATTATCATCGTTATTATTATCGTTATTTTCATTATTATAATTATTATCATTATTATTAATGATGATAATAATAATAATTTTGCTATTACCATTATGATAATGATCATAATAATGATAATATAACAATAATACATAATAATGATAATAATTATAATAATAACAATAATAATAATAATAATGATGATGATGATGATAATTATTATTATTATTATATTATTATTATTATTATCATTATTATTATAATTTTTATTATTCATGTTATAGCTTTTTAAACCCCTAAATCCCCCAATTTATGTATAATCATAAATCCCTGAACTTCATACGTAAATGTTCCTGTTCTTTGTGCAATCCCATCCCTCTGTCTCTGTCTGTCTCTCGCGTTGCTCTGTCTTGCGTCGATTGTCCCCGCCCGCCCTCTGTTGCCTCCCGTGCGAGGCTGCCCCTCTCGCTTGTACTTGCTCTGACACTGTGGCACGCCCTGCATGTTGGGGTACGTGTTGGGCTGCATGGTGGCGGGCCGGAAAAGGCCCCGTGTGTGTGTGTGTTGTGGTGGTGGCACGGCTGCTGTTGTCTTGGCAGAGGTGCGGCCGTCTCACGTGTACTGTCCCTCAGGGAGCGCCGATGCTATCCTCGCGCTGGTCAACGCAGGCGCCAGCGTTAGCGCCGAGGACAAGGATGGGCTAACAGGTGAGGCGCTTGCCCCCGGGGCCCTGCGTTGCTAACCTCTAATCTGTCTTATTTGCAGGCCAAACATTCTTAATTCTTCCCCAGTCAGGGCAGGGAACACTGAAACACCTTCAGATCTACGTTATATACTTGTAATGATAAAATGATATAAATTTGTTTTGTCATATATTTTTTTTTCTTTTCTAATGTCTGTCATGTTGAATATCCATATTTTGCGTACCGAATGCATAATCCTACATGGATAGGAGTAGCTATTTAATAACAAAGCCACTGACCAATAATGAAAAGAAACGGAATAATATTTGGACCATGGATACATAATGTAAAAGTCCAGATAACCATATGAGCACACATCTGATATAAATGATTACGATGCTGATATTACAGGACCTTTATTAGTATTACCATTGAATTGATTGCATTGCATGACCAAAAAATACTAAATATATAGTGCATTTTCGACCAATTTTTTGTCATCATTAGACTGTTAGGACAGTTGCTGCTTGAAAGTAATATTAATGATAATGAATGTTTATTATAAAGATAATAGCAATTATTATAATTTGGAAAACGTTAACAAATGAAAGATTTTATGCTAATTACCATAGTAGCAATGATAATAAGGGTTATGCTGTTAATCATGATATTAATCATTATAACCTTATTCATGATAATGATGTCAATTATATATTTAATACCACCGGTGATAGTAGTAATAATAGCAATAGTAATAACATCAATAATGATTATGAATCAGACACCGAAGTGTACAATAGAGAGATCGTGATGCACATGAGCACACACTCTTTTTATTGCACATTAATTGATGGTCAGAGTCGACTGTATAAAAATTCGTTATAGTTTACCTGGATTTATCATGCAACGCTT